CTCTGTAAACCGCTTAGAGAGGCCTGAAAGGCCTATGAAGCGGTATATAAGTCTACTGCTATTGCTATTGCTATAATTGCAGAAGGCAGCTTCATTTGTAACTGCTTCTAACATGCGACGATATCTGTAATACCATCAAACATTCAGATTTGCCTCTCCCAGGTCCTTGGTAAGGACTCGATAGATAGACAAAACTGCCAAACCCAGATTGAACATCTGGCCATGTGATTAATAATAAGGCTGAAAGCAGAGATCATTTTTAATTGCATTTTATATTATTAAATGTAAGTGCTTTGGAGTGTTATCCATTCACCTTGGGGGGAAAAAAACAAGAGACTGGCAAGAGGAAAAAATAAAAAATTAACTCAAACTAGTTTGGACTCTGGAAGAAGTTAACTGACAACTCCATCAAACATCCCTGAGAAGGCTATCTTGGCCATTTGGGATGTCCAAAATGTCTTTACAGATTATACACACACACCCCGCCCTTCTACAGCCAGAAGAATAAAAGAAAAATCTGCTCGGGATAAAGGATGTTAAAATGAGCCAGGAAGGAAGGATAAGGAAAAGGCCGGAAGGAAAGAGGTTTCAAGTCTGTCTTGAGCAAGGAATGAAGCACAGGAGGGACCTTGGGTGAGGCTGTCTGTCTGGCTATCCATTTACATCTGTCTATACCTACCTATCTCTACCTATCCATCCATCCCGCTATCTATCTATCTGTCTGTCTTGTCTCTTTCTCTCTATCTTCCTACCTATCTAGGGACCTTGGGGGTCTTCTAGTCCATCCTCCTGGTCAGACAATAGACCCTTATAGAATCACAGAATAAGAGTTAGAAGTCATCTAGTCCAACCCCCTGCTCCAGCAGGAGAGCCTACAATACAAATTTGAAAGGGACCTTGGAGGTCTTCTAGCCCAACCTCCTGCTCGAGCAGGAATCCCCTATGGCCTGTAGCTATGTTGGTGAACCTATGGCACGTGTGCCCAAAGTGACACGCAGAGCCATGTTGCCTGGCATGTGCGGCGTTGTGCGTTCCCCTTCTGGGTTTGTCGCGTGCATGGCAGCCAGCTGGCCTTCGTGCATGCGGCACTGCTGGAAACTGGGAGAGCTGGCCTTCCCTTTTCCTGCGTGAGCATGGGCGCCTGGCCTGCTGGTCGTCGTGCGTAGCTGACACTCGTTGCTGAAAAGGTTCACCCTCACTGGCCCACAGCACGTCCGACAAATGGTTGTCCAATTTCTTCTTAAAAACTTTCTAAAAGGTTTTTAATCTTTTAAACTTCCACCAACTGATTGTTCTCTCTCTCTCTGTTCTAGGTTGCTTCTCCCTCCCATTAATTTCCATCTGTTGCTTCTCCTCCTGCCTCCCCTTGGAGAATAGCTTGACTCCCTCTTCCTTGGGGCAGCCCCGCAAAGATTGGAAGAGGTTACCATGCCTCCCCTAGTCCTTCTCTTCATAAAACCAGACACCCCCAATTCCTGCACCCCCAATTCCTGCAAATTCCTGTTATGTTTTCACACACACACACACACACACACACACACACCAAAGCCCCCTACTCATCTTTGTTGCTCTTCTCTGGCTGATGCCCCCCCAAATAGACCTTCCCTACAAAGGCTTCTAAGATACGACAAAGCGGGCGTTTTGCAAGAGCGACCGTCCCTGCATCCAGCCCTCCGGTTAATCTACCAACCGTGGCTTCTTCGTCATCTTCCATGTGTGTGTTTCTCCTCCGTTTGCCAAAAGGTGGGACACTCTCTTCGGCAGCCTTCTCCGTTCTTTTCACTGCGGCCGTCTTAGCCAGGTTGCGAATGGTGTTGCTCAGTTTTTGCTGCTGGCTCTGGGTGGAAGCCAAAGCGGGGCGGGGGAGCGAGGGGAGGGGGAGGGGGAAGTATTACAGATGAGCAGAAGGGACCCTGTTGGCCTTTTATGCCCTATAAGGGATGATGGACACTGTCCCAAGACAAATAATTGCCCCAAAATTCAAAAGTGGGGGCTGGTGGGCCGGGGAGAGAAGGGAGAGCAGAGGTCACCTTTTGCAAATACTCAGGATCTCAGTCCCCACAATTAAGATTTAATTGTGGGTACATAAACACACAACACAAAAAGGGAAGATTTGATTACGGATATCAACACACACAGACACACACGAAGGGGGAGGTTTAAACAGGGGCTGACAAAAGTTTGAACCCTGCAAAGCAACACAACCAGGACACCCACACACATTGCACCCAACAGAAAACTAGGGGTTTCCCTTCAAACCTCTGCCCATCATCTGAGTGGCAATGTCTTTTCTATTGGCATTAAAGCCTCCTCTTAACTGCCCCAGGCAATAGCAAGAGCAATAGCAGTTAGACTTATATACCGCTTCATAGGGCTTTCAGCCCTCTCTAAGCGGTTTACAGAGAGTCAGCATATTGCCCCCAACAATCCGGAGCCGGTGAGATTTGAACCGCTGACCTGCTGATCTAGCAGTAGCCTGCAGTGCTGCATTTAACCACTGCGCCACCTTGGCTCTTAGAGCAAGAGGAAAAGCAAGGCAGAGCAAAAGCAAGCAGAATAAGAGAGCTGGAAGTCACCTGGGAGGTCATCTAGTCCATCCTCCTGATCGAGCAGGAGACCCTTACAGAAGCATAGAATAACAAGGTTGGAAGGGACTCGGGAAGCCATCTAGTCCAAGCCCCCACTTGAACAGATCATTATGGAATGACAGAATAACAGAGTAGGATGGGACCTGAGAGGTCATGTAGTCCAACCCTCTGCCCAACCAGCACAGCCTTAACAGAAATACCTTAGAATCTGGAGGGAGGGAGAAAAGAGGGGGGTGTTTGCTTTAAAGCAAGCTTCAAAATCCAACTTTCAAGTTCCAAAACCCCAAACTTACATGCAGGTCCTCGCTCTTAGCGACCATCAGAGGAGCGGTCCAAAGGCACGACATATCAGAAGCCGTCTCGTCTTCACTCTGGGGAGAGAAAAAAAAAAAGGGGGGGGGGGACATTTATATATTATGAAACTCCTTAGTTGTTTTTTCTTGCTGGGAATTCTGAAGGTTTCCAGGTTGGTTTAAAAAAACATCCCAGAAATGGCTTTAGAATTGCAGTTCTATGCAGGTAGTCCTCGACTTACGATGACCATTGAATCCAAAATCTAGGTTGCTAAGGGAGATGGTTGTTGAGTTTTGCCCCATTTCACCAGCTTTCTTGTCACTGTCATTAAGTGAATCTCTGTGGTTCAGTGAAACTGGTTTACCTGTTTGATGACGGATGATCACAAAAGTCAGCTTCCAGACTCTTGAATGGACGTGATCTGATGATGCCACAGCCGTTAAGTGTGAAAAAGGGTCCTATGTCCCCTTTTTTTCACTGCCATTGTTAATTTTGAACGGTCACTAAATGAACCATTGTAATTTGAAAAGTTCCTATTTGCAAAACGGATCCATTTTTATCTGCTGGCGAAGACGTTCAAGTTGTGGCAAACTAATTTTTGGAAACAATGTCAATTAACAAGACAAGTAGGCCTCGACTCCCGACCACAATCGAGCCCAACTTTTCTGTGGCTAAGTGAAACATTTGTCAAGTGAGTCTTGCCCCATTTTACGACCTTCCTTGCCATCGTTAAGTGAATTGTTGCAGTTGTTAGCTTGTTAAGTGAATACAGCTTCCCCATTTGACTAATACTGGTTAGAAGGTCGCCAAAGTGGATTGCCTGACTCCCCAGGACATAGTGACAATCATAAATATGAGACAGTTGCCAAAGGTCTTGATTTGGGTGACATGTCCATGTGACGGTTGTTAAGTGGGAAGAATGATTCATCCGTTCCTTTTTTTCAATGCCATTGTAACGAATGGTCACTAAATGAACTGTATTTATTACATGTAGAGGAAGAGGAAGGAAGATCAGAGGAAGAAAAGGAGGAGGATGTGATTTGGTCCCAGAAGGAAGAGTAGGAGGAAGAGGGTTCGGTCAGTAAACGGCCTGTTGTAAGTCGAGGACCACTTGTATTTATTAAATGTATAATACACTCATCTCACAATTAACAAATGGCATAAAAACAAGGAGAAACCAACATGAAAATTAACAAAAAACCTAGGGTTCCTTGATGCTCTGCAGTTTGGTTGTTTAGATGTCTCATCACCAAACTAGGTAACAAAGTCAGGACACATTGGGAAATTGAGTCAAGGAGGAACAGGGGGAGGAGAGGATGGAACGAATTAAAGGCGGCAAAGACATTCAGGTTGCGAAAAACTTACATTTTTGGAAACAATCTATCAATAAGAAATATTTGTCTCTTTTGGGAGCGGTGGATAAGTCCCAGCATCGCAAGATGACATTAACAGAAAGAGCCAAACCATTTTCCCATTGCAAGAATTCCAGGGGAACACTCTGGCGATGGAAACTTTTTGTCAAAAGTGACTTCACAGCTATGACAAAGCTTTTTTTCTTAAGTCTCCAAAATTTTGCTCTGGAATTCCTGCTACGTTAAAACGTTGGGCTCTTGTTATTTTTAAAAATAAACATTATCTTTGCAAAACTGCAAGGAAGCCAATTATTTTGAACTCTCCCTTAGCTAGCCACATTGTAATTACCAAGAATTAAACTAGCAGGGCACTTACAGTGTTATCCGGACCATCCATCATCTCTAAAAAGCCATCGTCGTTTTCCGTTTCTGTGATTTGTTGGGACAGCAGGCGTGGGAATAAAGGGGTCGCCATTCCGGTATCATTTTCAATATTTTGACTGCTGGAGACCTAAAGCAAAGGATACTTTCTTTAAAAAATAGCCACATATTTATTGTTTATACACATTTAACTGAGATTAAGATTCCAGAAATAAAGACCATTACAGATGGTGAGACATTAATCCCAAGTCTCCTTTTTTTCAGTCCCACTGTAACTTTGAATGGCCACTAAATGACCGGTTGTAAGTCAAGAACAACCTGTAGTTACATATCTCCACCACAACACTAATGGCTGAAGCGCCCATTCTTTCTGGGACATACCTTAAGTACTGTGTTCGAGTCCTCCCTCGCTTCGGAAGGGTCTTTTTCGTCGTCTGGAGAAGAAAGGTGCAGAGAGCCACGAGAGGCAGGGACGGTTGGTTTCTTGAACTCAAAGTGCTCCTTGTGAGAGAAAAAAGGGGACAAAGCACCAATTGTTTTTTTAATGATCCACTTGTGCGCAACAGACAAGGATTTTTTTCTTATTTATCTCCTTTGATTTGGATGGCAAAATAAAATACAGTTCAAGTTAGGTGTGATAAATGGTTTCGTGAGTGCCATGAAAGACACTTGACAGACTTGAACACAGGGCCCTAACAAAATGAAATTGAAGGGTGGAAAAAAAAAGTAAGGAATGGAATAGAGAGAATGGAATGGAATAGCATAGGACAGGATATTGGAATATAGACTAGAATAGCTTTATTGTCACTTAGAATGTACACTAATTGGCAAACATTAAAAATGAAATTTAGTTGCATACAGCTCTTAAAGGGTCACCACCTCCAATTTTACATTACATAAACATGACAAAGATAAAATAAATAAATACAAAATTATGTATATACCTACATATATTACATGACACAGAGAAAAAGTTAGGATGCACAAGGTTCCACATTTAGGAAAGAAAAACCAAATGCACAGAGATGGGATAGGTGGTACCTGACTCAAAAGGAGGAACTGGGAAAGGGATTTTGGAGTCCTAGTAGGCCAATCACTTAAATAGGAGCCAGCTGTGTGCTGCAGCCAATGAAACAACCAACGGCAGTTCTAGGCTGCATTAACAGAGGGATAGAATCAAAATCACTTGAAGCGCCAATACCACTTTATAATGCCTTGGTAAGACCAAACTTAGAATATTACATCTAGTTTGGTCATTATGATATAAAAAAGATATGGAGACTCTAGAAAGAATGCAGAGAAGAGCAACAAAGAGGACCAGGTGGCTGGAGGCTGAAATATATGGTTGCTGGAATTGTGTTTCTCTAGTTTATTGAAAAGAAGGGCTAGGAGTGACATGATTAGCAATGTTTCAATATTTGAGGAGCTGCCCCAAAGAAGAGGGGAACAACCTATTCTCCAAAGCACCTGAAGACAGGGGAAGAAGCAATGGGTGGAAACTCATCAAGTAGAGAAGCAACTTAGAACTAAGGAGAAAATTTCCTGACAGTGAGAATAATTAACCATTGGAACAACTTGCTTCCAGAAGTTGTGAATGCTCCAACACTGGAGGCTTTTAAAAAGGAACTGGACAACCATTTGTCCAGTCTGAAGTAGTGTAGCATTTCCTGCCTGAGCAGGGGGGTTGGACTGGAAGACCTCCAAGGTCCCAACTCTTTTATTCTATCCTCAAAACGGTTCTGAACTGTAAGTCCAACCTGCCAAATTTTAACAGCAAAACTGGTCAGTTCTCAGCAGTGCTTTTCACCGTGAGGAAAGAGTTCTGCTTTTTTGTCATCCAGACAAAAATCCTAAATTAAAAGCCTTGGGGAACAAGTCAACAATCTGGTGCTGAAGATGTGGCTCTTTTTGTCAGAATCTCTGAAAAACCAAACTCACATTCTCTTTGTTCTCTTCAGGAGGGAGAGGTTGGAAGACGTTACAATCCAGTTGAACCGAGTGGTTCCTCTTCAGCGCAGGGCTGCAACCCAGAAGGCCGTGCTAAAAATAAATAAATAAATTTTTTTTGAGAAAAACAATCCCAGAGTCACGCAGGGGAAGCATAGTTTTTATCGCACACAAACAAAAGACAAATTAAATTGAATGCACTGTATATGATGTGTCGGTGCGGAGATTCGTAGACAAGCGCATGTAACCTTGACTTGAAGCAATGGAGGTGGGATTTAAGAGAGGTGGCACAGTACTTAAGAATGCAGTACTGAAGGCTGCTTCAGCTGATTTCTAGCTGCAGTTCAGCAGTTCAAATCCCACCAGGCTCAAGGTTGACTTAGCCTTCCTTCTTTCCAAGGTGGGTAAAATGAGGACCCAGATTGTTGGGGAACAAGAGGCTGACTCTGTAAACTGCTTAAAGGGCTGTAAAAGCACAATGAAGAGGTATGTATGTCTAAGAAGTGCTATTGCTATTTAAAACCAATCAGAGAAATTAATGTTTGAAATTAAAAACAAAAAAAGCAGTATATTGCAAATCTGAAATGGTGTGAGGTCTCCAGTCTGAGCAGGGGGTTGGACTACATGACTTCCAATGTCCCTTTCACCTTTGTTATTCTGAACCAACTCAATATTTTTCAGGAACTCTCCATGCCCCCTATTATGCAAAAAACCCCTTTTGTGCCCAAATTCCAAGCATTCTAGACCCTGAGAGGCAGATAAAGGGATTTTCCTAAGCCTTATCTACAATACCTGTAATCTCACAGAAGTCTGAGTAATTCAAAATGGCATTTAGAAAAGAGAGAAGTAGTACTGACACAGGAGACCATGGTTCCTCAGCTGAACTTACCGGGAGGGAATGCATTCTCCTCATGGGCAGCCGAAAGCTGCAAGAGAATGCAAAAGTCGTGACCTTCAAATAAAGCTAAATCCAACCTCAAAGCCTAACTGTATTGACAAAAAAATGGGTTAACAATTCTAATCTTTCACTGCCTAATCCAATCAGCAAAACAAGCCTGAAGCTCTCCCAAATCAGAAAGGTGTTATATTACACCTTGATCTGACCCACAGTATTTGTCATGATAAATATGCAAAACATTTCCTGCTCCAGGCTGATAACAGCTCATTTGTAAAGCCTTATCCTAGCGCATATCTTCCACAAACCACCCAATTCTGCTGAAGGCTTCCTTGTGCATAATAAACCCTTCAGCAAATGTAAAGGAGGCAGGTTTTTAAGGCCACAATTATTTTTCCCTTTGATGGCAAAATTCCTTGCCTTCATATCCAAGGGACCGTCCAGCAATAAAACTCAAAATTGACCTAAAGGGAAAAAAAATCAAGCTAGAAATAGGGAGGGGTCTTTTTGAGAGCAAGGGTGATCAAGACCTGTGGAACAGCTTGCCAGCAAAAGTTGTGCAGTGTTCCATCCCTGGAGGCTTTGAAGGAAGAGAAGGGTTTCTTGCCTGAGCAGGCACTAGAAGACCTCCAAAGTCCCTTTCACCTCTGCTATTCTGTTAACTTATCCTCTTTATTATGGGGAAAGGGCAGGAGGAGGAAAGCCTAACGGGGCCTGGGGGATATCAGTAATAGCAGAATTCCTTTTAAAAGCCACATTCCAGAGTGGATCTCTGAGATATCCTGAGTGACTAAGACTCAGAGCAATGTATTCAAAGCAGATTTTCTACTTAACAAAGGCTCCTTAGCCTCTTCCCTGCTGACCCCAGGTAGTTTTAAGCTAATACAGCACATTAGCATCTTTATCACCTACCTTTCTTCAAGGTCGTTCATGCCAAGCAGGGCAGGAGAATCCATGCAGCAACCTGCAGGAGACACATTTTTTTTCCTCTTGTTTGCATATTACAGCTATTGCACATCTTATATATTGAGGAAAGCAGAATAAATTAACAGCACAGTTTATATCTTCCTTGCATTTTAAAACTATTTGAGGCAAGCAGAATACATTAACAGAACCGGTTAGGTATGCAGGATTAGAAAATCCTAAACCCCTCCACCCTTTCTTTTAACTTAAAAGGCTACGGTTTGAGTATATGGTGCTAGGGAAGAAGATATCTTCCTCCATTACATTTTAGCTGAGGAACACAAGATGGCTTCCTTCTAAGGTCAGATTTGATGATGCGGTTTGAGCTTCATTCATAATTCTAGTGTCAAACCAGTTAAAAATCCTAAATAGAAATGATCCTTTGCTCCATTTGTAGAGAAAGGTACTGGGGAATCCATCCGATCAGGATAAGACTAGGCTCAGAGACCATCATCCACAGCCCATTCTTTTGAAGCAGGAACAGGCCAGAAAACACTCTGCCTTGGGGCCTCAGCACGCAGCCGCAAACCTGAATCGGTAGAATCGGAAGACGACGTCCTCTTCATATTGGCGTTCTTGACTTCCAACATCTGCACGTAGCACTCAGTTGAGCTGCAAAAATGCAAAGATGGAGCTGTGATCTCCTGCCTTGTAATAAATAAAATTAAATGGAAATGGGGTGGGGGGGAATGCTCCTACACAATCAAACAGGGAACGGTCCCCCCCCCTCCACCCCAAAAAACCCCCCCACAGAGATCTTATCACTGACAAGAGTCGTTTGGACCGTCTTATGGTGGATTTGCAATATTGGTTTGCAAAGGGTTGAAAATAAGCAATTTTGGTTTAGGATTTCAGGCAACAGTCTGCAAAGCAAGAGTGTGTGTGTGTGTGTGTCTGTGTGTACATGCCACACAAAAATATGTATATACTCCGATATATCTACATACCCATGTATATATGCATATGGCTACATACTCATGTCCACAACCCACATATACACTTATATACACAAATCCACATGTACACAACCTATGCACACATTTATCCACATATACACACATTCATCGCCACAAATATACATGTATACATACACATATACACTTGTACATGCACATATAGACATCTCAAGCACACATATACATATTATGCACATATGCACAAACGTATAATACGTTCCCTTCGTCTTATTTCCTCCGCAACAACAATCCTTATTTATACGTTTGTGTATATGTGCCGAAGGGGGGTGGGGGGGTGGGATCTGCCTTTCATCCGACCCAACCAAACCTGGCCTACACGCATCGGCCATTTCGGAGGTCGGCTAAAACAGTCCAGCGTGGGGGCTCGACTAGATGCCCTCGACGTTCATCCGCCATTCCACGATAGGGCCATGGTAAATGAGTTGAGGGGGGAAATGCTGGTTTAGGGCCTCCTAGGACTACATATCCCAGTCCCGCCGGAGGCAAAGGATGAGGGGAATGCGAATTCCCCTACACACACACACACACGCACGCACACAGCGGAAGACGGTTCAAGGCTCCCACCGGTCTCCTCAGGCCAAGAATCGCTCCGCTCAGTCGGCTTACCCTGCAGCGTTGAGGCTTCTCCGGCGGGTGAGGGGACCCTCGGCGTCGCCGAGGAGCAGGCGGCGGCGATGAGAGTGATGGCGGCGGGCGGCGGGCTCCATGAGGTAATTGTCCCTTTCCGGCCACCGTCGACAAAACGAACCGTGTCGCGAGAAACCCGAGTGAGGTGAAGACACCCCCTCCGCGCGCAGCGCCCCTTCTTACCGCTTCGCGCCGGGCCCCGCCCACCAACCGAGCCCGTCCTCCTCCCGCCAAAAGTGGCGCCCGCCAATGGGAAGTGGCGCCCGCCAATGGGAAAGCAGCGCCCGCCAATGGGAAAGCGGCCCGCCTATTACGTTAGACGAGGATGCGAGCCAATCAGCTGGAGGATCTTCAGGAAGGGGAACCAACCAGAGACTGAGAAAGACGCTTCCCCTTGTTGCACGACACTCCAGGGAGGAGCTTGGTTGAAAAGGGGAAGAACCGTTCCGGCCAGCCAATAGGAGAGGAGAGGCTATAGATAGGCATATTGAAAAGGGCGTGTACAAGACGAGAGAGAGAGAAGCTAGGGAAGGGAGCTGTTGCGGAGAGCCATCGGAAGAGTTGAAACCACGCCCCCTCCCCGAGGCTATAGAGGTAGGCAAATTAGAGAGGCTCATCCTGTGAACTCGACTGCAAGGAGGTGATAAGGTTGCGACAGGCAATAGGAGATGCGAGTCCATGTTCCCCCCCTCCCACCAGAGATTATAGAGATAGAAAAAAGTAGAAAGACCCGCTCTTCCGGGTAGGATTTTTTTAAGGGGAAGCATCTATGTAAGCCTGATATGTGCAGATAGTTTTAGATGTTTATTATTCATATAAGCAAACACACATATATAGTCCTCGACTTATGACTGGAAGTAAGCCCCCAATTTCTGATGCTGAGTGAAATTCTTTAAGGGAGGTTTGCCCCGTTTTACAACCATTGTTAAATGATTTGCTGCCATTGATAATCAAATGGTCGTTAAATGAATCTGGCTTGCTGATTGACTTTGCTTGCTGGAAGGTCCAAAACGGTCATCATGTGACCCCCCCCCATTGCCGAGTGTTTGAATTTTGATCACGTGACCACAGGATTGCTGTGACTGTCATTAAGTGTGAAAAAAAGTCCTCAGTCCATTTTTTTTTTCAGTGAAGGTGTAACTTGGAATGGTCACTAAGTGGATTGTTGTAATTCAAGAACCTGGCTGGGCCAATCAGCACAAGGGTCTTGGGAGTTGGATGCAATCCTGGAAGATGGTGGGTGGCTTCACTTTTAACCTTCTAAATTTCTTAACTTTTTTTTGTAAAATTGAAATAATTAAAAAAATAAAATTTTAATTTTATATATTTCATTTTTTTTAAAGTAAAATTAAAAAACAAATTGGTAAGTTTTAATTGGTACATTTTAAGTTGTTTTGAACTCTGGTATTTAACCTGGACTTTCATCGATGTATTTACATTTCTTGGGTGTTTAAATTCCTTGTGTGCCTAATCACACTTGGCCAATCACCAATAAAGAATACAAGGGGTCCTTGACTTATGACCACAAGAGAGCCCAAATCTTCTGTGGCTGATTGAGACATTTGTTGAGTGACAGTTGTTGATCTTTCTTGCCACAACACTGTCGTTAAGTGAATCCGGCTTCCTCTGTTGACTTTTGCTTGTCAGGTCGCAAAGAGAGACTCACGACCCTTGGGGATACGGCAACCATCATAACTACGAGTCCAATGGCGAGCATCTGAATTTTGATCACCATCAGGATATCTACAACGGTCGTAACTGTGGAAAACGATTCTAAGTCCCTTTTTCAGGGCCCTCCTAACTTTGGTCACTAAGTGATTGGTCCCAAGTTGAGAAATTGAAGATAATTTTATAGGTGCTAATCAAGATTTATGGCCTAGCTCATGCCAATACTATACTGTCACATATATATGGTCTTTTGTTTATATATTTTAAAATATGTTATGAGGATAGGTATAGGTAGATTTGTATGTGTGTACATAATGCAAAGGATCATGTCTGTGTGTGTGTGTGTGTGTGTATCTTTGCTTCTATCAATATTATGTGTATTTATATATAATTATGTATACCTGCTATATATACATATATACACATATATCCTATTTTTCGGAATATAAAATGCACTCCCCCCCCCCCTTAAAAAGGGTGGAAATTTGGTTAAGTCTTGTACTGGGAATGTAGCTTTTTCAGACCTGAGGTGCTAACTCGTTGGGGAAAAAAAGCTTCATTTCCGGGTTCATTCCAGCTGGGAGAAGCTAACTAAACTAACTAAGATTTGAAGTTCCTGTGGCTAAGTGATTTCTATTCTTTTGGGGATAATCCCTTTAAGGATAATCCCTTTATGGCTGAGTTTTCTCAATGGTTTCCTTCAGGCAAGACTGGGCTAGTTTGTTAATTCAGCTTTGTTACATTTTACTAAATGTGAAGTGCTTTTGGCTGAACGCCCAGTCATATTAAGCTTAATTTAATTTAAGGGGGTCTTGGCAAAAAAGTTCATTTTATTATACTATTGGGTTTGTTTGCTTTTCTGGTGTTATGGGAACAGGCATAATTCCCCCCCCCCTATTTTCCTCCCCAAAAACTAATGTGTCTTATACTCTGAAAAATACTGTAGATATATATCTCAAACGATCATATATATATTTGTATATATGATCCTTTGCTTATATTTATTTATCTATCTATAGTATATTTAACCAAATGATTTATTTGTTTCACACACACACATGCACACACACACACACACACACAGACAGGATCCTTTGCATAAAGAGCTGAACGATCAAAGGCGTGCCTTACATCAGAAGCTCGGGGGAAAAAAACCTTTCTGGACCACACATGGATTTATCACGGCAATAATATTCAGTAGTCGGGAACCGCACAGGGCACACCGTTCTTCTCAATGACACATGGGCGAACAAAACAATGTTCTCATAGTAAAAATAATTAAAACCCAGAGAGAGGGAGAGAGGCTGGGGGGGAGTAGCCCTCCGCCACATGACGCTGGTTTGCATTTTCAAGTACACTTAAAAGCCGGGTTCCTTCTTGTCATTACTTCAGTTAGGACCCTCCGTCAGGAGGAAATCATATCATATCCCGAAAAAAAAGAAGAAATAATATCCAAGTGCTTCCAGACGTTACAAAGAAATCCAGAGATTTCATTTCAGACAAAGAAGCCATCTCTTGATTTCTCGGTAGCGTTCGGCCAAGAGAATTGTCTCAAAATTTAAAAATGAAAAGGGATGGACTCCGAAGCCCATCCCTCCTGCGCTTCGATCATCTTCTCCAAACGCCATGGCAAGATTCCGGTCCTGAAGAAGCCCCCTCACTTTCCATCCTCCTCTTTCACCGGATTCATTTTAACTAGCTCGCACAGGGTTTTATCCCCACCTTTCAATTCCGTGATGTTTTGACAAGGACAGGGAGTTTTTCAACCAGGGCTTGGTGGTTCATCCGGACGCTGGCAATGAGTCCCCCTTCGTTACCGTCCGAGCCCGTGTAGGTAATCTCCTCCCCAGCCAAGGTGGTCATGCGGCCACCGAGGGCCCTCAGCACGGCGTTGCCGGCACAAATGTCCCATTTTTTAATGTAGGTGACGTGGATGTAGACGTCGGCTTTCTCCTGGTGCGCTTCGGACACATCGAAGAGAGATATAAAAATAAAAAAAATATTTAAAACTGGAAAGATGGCAGATTTTTGGAGTTTTAGCAATATACAGTTAATTCTCCCCTTACGACAATTCACTTAGTGATGGTTCAAACAGGCTGCATCACTGAAAAAAAGGACTTAAGACCCTTTTTCACACTTTTGACCATTTCTCACACTTATGACCGTCGCGGTATTCCCAGGGTCATTCGAGTTACATTCAGACACTTTGCACCTGATGCATATTTACGACGGTGGCAGTATCCCAGGGGTCACACGATCCCCTTTTATGATCTTTGGACAGCCAAAGTCATTGGGGAAAAGCCAGATTCGCTTAACGACCGTGCCGCTAACTTTAACAACTGCAGTGATTTGCTTAACAATGGTGGCCGGAAAGGTCGTAGCATAGAGCAAAACTCACTTCATCATTTGAATCATCACAGTTGTTAAGTCAGCACAGCCAAATTGAGTCCTAAATTAATGCAGCTAAGTGAGACATTTGTTAAGGGAATTGTGCCCCATTTTAGCACTTTTCAGTCGTTCAGTGAGTAATCTGGTTGCTAAGTGAATCTAGGCTTCCCCATTGACTTTGCTTATCCCTCTGAATCTTAACCAGGTGACCCCTGGGGATGCTGCGATGGTCGTTAAGTGTGAAAAAGGGCCATCGTAACATTTGACGGTCACTAAACCAAACGGTTGTAAGTTCAGGAGTGCCTGTATCCCGGGATATCCTGGCACCCCCTAGTGGCAAACAGAAGGCGTGATGGACTTAATTCATCTCTCTCTCAAACTTCAGGAGCTATACAGACAGTTCTCAACATACAACCACAATTGCACCCAAAATTTCCGCTGCTAAGTGAGACATTGCCTGAATGAGTTCTGCTCCATTTGACGGCCCTTCTGGCCCTAGTTGGTAAATGAATCACCGCAGTTATTCCCTAAGTCACATGGTTGTTAAGTTAACCTGGTTTCCTCCTTGTCGGAATATCGTAAGAGGGGACCATGTGACCCAGAGACCATCACAAACACAGGTTTGTTGCCATGTGTATGAATTTTGATCATATGACCGCAGGGAGGCTGCAATGGTCATCAGTAAGAATAACAGTCCAGTCACTTTTACCAGGGACGTCGTAACTTTCAATGGACACTAACCGAACTGTTGCAATTTGAGGAACTAATCATAAAGACTAGTGAGCAAAACTCACTTCATCATTTGAATCATCACAGTTGTTAAGTCAGCACAGCCGAATTAATGTTGCTAAGTGAGACATTTGTTAAGGGAACTGTGCCCCATTTTAGCACCTTTCAGTCGTTCAGTGAGTAATCTGGTTGCTAAGTGAATCTAGGCTTCCCCATTGACTTTGCTTATCCCTCTGAATCTTAACCAGGTGAACCCTGGGGATGCTGCGATGGTCTTTACCAGGCAAACATTTCCAGAGAGAGATTGGGAGTTTTTCCGAATGTCTCACAATTTCTCACAAATTTTCTGCCTGCTCACAGACTTGCCACCCGAAATCTGAAGAAAAGAAAAATCTGAGTTCACTCACCAGCTCCACCGGCCTTAATGATGGCGGTTTGGTTGCCGAAGCTCTGCCATGCCACCTGCTTAACTTGCCCTTCATGAGATCGCGACACAATGATGGTCGGCGTCCGCTCATTGTAGGAAGAGCGCGGCTGAACGTTGGACCCGCCATTCACCATCGCCCAAGCTGGGGAAAAAAACAGCAAATCACCAGTTGAGGATGTTGATTATCATAGCTTTCAAATGAGGTATATATCTATATCTATCTACATCTACCAATCAATCTATATATCTATAAATATCTATATCATCTAAATATCTATATCTCTCTCATCTAACTACCATATCAATATCTCTATATTATCTAAATATCTCTATATTCAATATTCCTCTATCTACCTATATCTATCTATCTATCTATCTATCTATCTATCTATCTATATCTATATATATATATATATATATATATATCATCCTTCATTCATCATCCATCATCCATCCATCCATCCATCATTATCTGTCTGTCTGTCTGTCTGTCTGTCTATCTATCTATCTATCTATCTATCTATCTATCTATCTATCTATCTATCTATCTATCTATCTATCTATCTACCTACCTACCTACCTACCTACCTACCTACCTACCTACCTACCTACCATATTTATATCTCTATATCTCTATTATCTCAATATCTATCTGTATCTATATACCGTATTTTTCAGAGTATAAGATGCACATTCCCTCCCCCCAACAAAGGGTGAAAATTTGGGTACATCTTATACACAGATTGTAGCCCTATACAACCACAAGCCCTCATCCTTTGGCCTCTATCTCCCAGAAATTTACCTCCTTGCAGCAAACTGAGAAAATGGGGCTTACAGAGCAACAATAGGCTATGGCAGTGATGGCGAACCTGTGGCATGTGGAGCCATATTTGGTGGCTGATTTTTCGCCCTTCCAGAGGGCCATGGAAGGCAGTTTTCGCCTCCAAAGCCTGAGGAGGGCAAAAAAACTGCCCTAAGAGGCCAATTGGAAGCTTGTTCCCGAACTTCCGGTTAGGCCATTGTAGCCATTTTTCACCTTCCCCAGGCTTCGGGAAAGCCTCCGGAGGCTGGGGAGTGGGGAAAAAGGCCCCAATGGCCCAACCAGAAGTTCGGAAATGATCTGTTTCTGGCTTCCCAGGGGCCTCCAGGGGGCTGGGGGAGTCTGTCTTTGCCATCCCCAGGCTCCAGAGGCTTTATTGAAACCTGGGGAGGGCAGAAAATGGCCCCACCAGATGTTTGGAAATGATCCATTTCCGGGCTTTTCACCCTCCCCAGGCTTCAGGAAAGCCTCTTCAGCCTGGGGAGGGGTATTATTGCGGGAATGTGGGAGGGGGGGGCAGGTGCGCAGGCGCAGGTGGGCGGGGAGAATTGAGTAAGCATGTGCGTTATAGCATGCACGGATGCAATTTTGGCACACCGTAAGAAAAAGGTTCACCATCCCTGGGCTATGGCAATCCCTGCAGCCTGAAACAGCTGATCATTGGGAAGCCCACGCTTAAACTGAAATTGAAAGTGAAACTTGCTGTTTGCTGCAAGGAGACAAATTGCTGGGAGGCAGAGGCAGAAACAAGGTGGGTCTTATACTTTGGAGCATCTTGTACTCCGAAAAATACGGTGTGTGTGTGTATGTGTATATATGTATACATGTGTTTGTTTGTGTTTGGGTGTGTATATAAAAATCTATCCACCTTATCTATATATCCAATTTCGTTGTATTTAAGTACAATGACAATAAAGATTATACTTATACTTACTTATATCTATATCTCATCTATCCACCATATCTCTATATATTATCAAAATATCTATAACTATATCTATCTATAAATCTATATCTAAATCCATCTTGTCTGTCTGTCTGTCTATAAAACCACCCAGCTCAGAGAGCACCAAAAACCACAATGTCATTCTCCTTCTCCTCCTTCCCCCTTCTTACTCTCCTCCCCCTCCTCCACTTCACAAACCCCTCTCCCTTCTAACACTGATGGTGTTACCTAGTTGGGTCATGAAATCTCTGCAACGAAAAAGAACTAAGCTCAGTGACAACAAAAGACCACAGTCCTCCTCTTCCTTTTCCTCCAACCTTCTAATCTCCATGAATCCCCACTTCTAGCACTGGTGATATTCCCTAGTCGGGTCATGAAACGTCTGTAAGAAAACCACCCAGCTAAGAGAGCACCAAGGACCCCACAATCCTCATCCTCCTCTTCTTCCTTTTCCCCCCTCCTCCACCACATCCTCCTCCTTGCAAAATTCACTTCCTTGTAGCACATATTACTTAATCGGGTTACGAAACAGTCTTCCTTGTCCTCCCCTCCTCCTCCTCTCTGCAAACCCACCCTTTCTACCACTGAATATGTTACCTAGTTGGGTCATGAAACACCTGTATCAAGTACAGAGACCACCAAGGACCCTACAGATTTCCTTGTTTGTTCTTTCCTTCTTTCCTTCCTTCCTTCCTTCCTTCCTTCCCCCCCTTCTTCCTCCTCCTCCCCCAAACTTCATTCCCTTCTAGCACTGATGGTGTTCTCTAGCTGGGTCGTGAAATGTTTGCAAGAAAGCTACCCAGCTCAGTGAGCAAAAACCAGCTCACAGTCTTCCTCCTCCCCCTCTGCTCTGCAAACCCCATTCCCTTCTAGCACGAAGAATGTTATCCCTTTGGATCCCAAAACATCTGCCAAGAAAAACCAGCAAGGACCCCCATAGTTCAATCCTAAGGTATACATCTTCTCTTTTGTTACTTAACTAATAGTCTGCACAATATCCAACCGTCTTTAATAAGGCAGAGTCTGGATTATACCCCACTGGTTTTTAAGACTCTTTAGAGTAGGGGTCCAGACATCTTGCCAAGGTTCAGAAACCCTGGTTTCGTGCCCCATAACCCCATATAACAATTGAAAAAAACCTTGTTGCGTTGAAACAAAGAAGCCACTTACCATCCCAAGGTGCTTTTTCAGGAGGCCACTGGACTGTCTTTTATTTTTTTTCTTCGAGGAAATTTTGTTTCTCATGCAAGAAGCTTCTTCAGTTCTGACAGGATGAGAAAGTGAAACGTCCTCAAATAAAAAACTCTTAAGAAAGGTCAAGTGGCCTCCCGAAAAAAGCACCTTTGGGACAACCATGACCGAGAATCGCTACAGACGTTTAGCTATACAATTTGGGATGAAGACCCTTTGAATGGTGTGGTAGTAGGAATGGGTTTCCAGAGGGGAAAAATTGCAGACTACAGGAACCATTTGCACTACTCAGGTGACCCTGAGGACACAGAGAAGCCTCCAGGTGGCCTTAGTGACCCTCTAAAACTAGGTTGTCAAACACAAGGCCCGAGGGCTGGATCTGGCCTGTGGGGCTGTCCTGAAAAATGTAAGGGGCTGGCCTGCTTCGGCCCGGTCAACCCAATGCGAAGAAGAAACATCAGGCCAGCAGCTTGGGGAATGACATCAAGCTGGCCATGCCCACCCACTCAGCCATGCTCAGTGAGTGATGTCAAGATGGCCATGCCCACCCAGTTGGCCACACCCACCGAATTCGGCACACCCGCCGTCCTCGTCTCCCAAGGTCAACCACAGCCCTGATGTGGTCCTCTGTGAAATTGAGTTTGACACCCTTGCTCTAAAAGATGCAAATGACCAGCTGTCTGCAAGGAGTATAAATCCTTCCAATGTCCTTTCAGAGCTGAAGAAGCTTCTCAGATGGGAAGCAAAAGGTCTTCCCAAAAGAAAAATCCCAAGAAAGTCCAGTTGCCTCCTGAAAAAAGCATCCATGACCGAGAATCTCTACAGCTGGTAAGCCACTTACCGGTATATTCAGAAAATGGCTTATGAATGACACCGATGACTGGCTTCCCGTCCACCGCCGCGCACACCATCGTGGTGACATACTGGGAAAGATTCTCTGGGAAATGGAAAAAATGCATCACGTCCGTGTGAAAATGAAGCAAACATAATCATTTCAGGTAGTCCTCAATTTACTGTGGTTCACTTAGTGACCGCTCAAAGTTGCCACGGATCTGATAAAAAGCGATTCAGGACCGGTTTTTCACCCTTATGTCGTCTCCATAGTCGTGTGATCAAAATTCAGACGCTCGGCAACTGACTCGCCTTTAATCCAGGGGAAGGGGAATGTCACGTGATCCACTTTTGCGACCTTCTGACAAGTAATGTGAGTGAACAACCATGTGACTAACTGAACAGCTACAGGAAAGTCCCCATGAATTGTTATTTTAGTATAGTTAAGGCCACGTGGAATTGACAGATTTTATCATAGATTTGATCTATTATGTATTATTTTACTCTAGAATTTTTAACTGGAGATTCGCCAAGGGTTTTTATCTGTTCTGGTCTCTGGTCTACGACGGTAATGAACAGAATTTAATATATATTCACTTAACAACCATGTGACTCACTTAACAACTGCAGGGATTCACTTAAAAAAATAATCTGGCCAGGGAAGTCAAACAGGGCAAAACTCACTTGGCCGTTATGTAGTTTGGTAACAGAGGGCTTTGGAATTTGAATCTCATCTTTTTTCTTTGTTATGATTGATAATTTTTAATGGAAAAAAAGAAAGAAAGAAAGAAAGAAGGAAGGAAGGAAGGAAGGAAGGAAGGAAGGAAGGAAGGAAGGAAGGAAGGAACGAAGGAAAGAAAATTACTATTTAGAAGAATAGATAGACATACTGGTAGATAGATACGGTAAATAGATAACTAATATTTAGAAGATAAATTATAGAGATAGACAGACAAATAAATAATATTACGGATGGATGGACAGACAGACAAGTAGATATTTAGAAGATAAATTATAGACAGAAAAGTAAATATTATTATGAATGGATGGATGGTTGGATGTAGATACCGTGTATCCTCGAAAATACAACTGTCCTGAAACTAAAGCCTTGCCACATTTTTCGCGTGGGCAAAAATATGTCCACCCCTGAAAATAAACCCCTTGGACAATCCCCACCCTCCAGCCAGGCAGAGCACCGCTCATCGACACAGCAGTATCCAGAAGGCACCAAGCCGCAGGAGCTGGGGGGAGAAAGGCGCTCACATTGCTTGCTGCCTTCGGGATACCGCTAGGTTGGGGAGTGGCATTCTGCCTGGCCAGACGGGGGAGTTGCCGGGCGGCTGCTCCCTTGCAAACTGGCTCCTGAGGAGCTGGGCACAGCCTTAGGGGCGAAGCAGCCATGAGGTGACCAAGCTCACAAGCAACCGCCTGGCAAACCCCTTCTCCAGCCAGGCAGAGCACTGACCCCGGGGGTATCCCGAATGTGCCAAGCCATGGGAGCTTGGGAGTGGGCAGAGCGCCACGTGGCTTGGCGCCTTAGGGATACCCCCTTGGTCAGTGAATGGTGCTCTGCCCAGCTGGAGAGGGGGTTTGGCTGGAGGGGGTTTGCCGGGAGGTTGCTCGTGAGCAATAGCAATAGCAATAGCAGTAGACTTATATACCGCTTCATAGGGCTTTCAGCCCTCTCTAAGCGGTTTACAGAGAGTCAGCATATNTTGAGCTGAATAAAGATTACTGTTTTGCTACCTATCTTGCCGCGTCCTTCTCTCCGCCCCAAGATGCAAAAGCAGTCACTGTGTCTGAAAAACAGCTTTAAGTAAATGAGACAGTAGGTAGCTTTGGGCTGCAAAATCATTATCATCATTACCAACATAATCTTGCTAAGTATATTTTATAGAGTATAACTTTTATTTAGAAAAAGAGAGGTTGCTTGGATTGTTAAGCTAAGATTTCAGATCACTAATTATAAAAACAGATGAATGAGGAAATAGCCAAAAGGAGCATAATTTGATTACACATTTAAATTAATTGTTTAATTAATTAATTTTTAATTAATACCATCAACTGAAGATGGTATGTCCTATACATCTGACTAATTTGTACAGTTGTTCATTTCCAATGTTACATTTCTGCTGTTATTTCTAATTGGACAAGATAGCCTATGGCTATTTTTAGAAACTAAATTTCACTTCTGAAATTTTGGAATCATGTTTGCTTTTTGTATGTACTGTGCTGCCTGCAAGTTGCATAATTTTATTTGTATTTTATGGTTGATTCTCCCTAAGAAAGTCTTAAAAGTAATCTCAAAGCAGACACCAATTTGTTTAAAAACAAAAAAACAAGCAAGTTACAACAAGATAAAAGCCAAATATTTCAATCCATATATTTTTAAAAAGTTGAAAATAACTTTAAAGTAACATAACTCTAAATGTTTTACAACACAGATGAATGATAAAACCACTGCACTGTATTGTAACTACTCAATAATTAACTGTACATAAATAAACAATTTTACAATATATATTTAAAAAGAAACAGATGACTGATCTATCAATTAATATTACCTTTTGGGAAATGATAATTTGAATAGTTTATAAAATAAACTAACAAAAAATGCCTAGAAAACCAACAGAACCTCTTCTTAACGTCCTATATAATTATTGCTAATATGTTATGGCACAGTCTGCATGTTATTTACAGACAGTCAGTCACAGATTTGATGGTCATATGGAAATATTTTCTGCTGGTTTACGTCCTTGAATAGGCCCATTTCTTGCCATTCATTTCCTTCCTCCCACATTTGCTAATCTTCTTGCTCTGATCTCAATCTGTATCACTTCCTAGAAGAAGAAAAAAAGAAGCAAAGACTACTGTCCTTCCTCCTCACTCTTATCACTGCCATAAGTAGAGAGAGGAGAGATGAAGAAGCAACAACATCAACAACCAAGAGCAAGAAATCAGTGGAAGGGGTTGGAGGTAGGGTCCTCCAATCACAGTTCCTGATGCTAAACCTAGATTTGAATATTAATTTACAGAAGATAGAATAACAGAATTGGGAGGGACCTTGGAGGTCTTCTAGTCCAACCCCCTGATCAAGCAGGACAGCCTGTTTAATCTCCTTAAAAAGTTCCAAAAATGAAGGTGACCAGACGTCCCGCATTTGGCGGGACAGCCACACCTTTTCATAATTTTTCCTGCGTCCCGGGGCCTTCTCAGAAGATCCTGCTTTAATTTTGGCGCCTTCTCGCTCGCTCCCCTGCCCATCCACTGCTGCTCGCATGGGCGGGGTAGTGTAGCAAGTGAGCGAGCAGATGGGCGGGGAGCGAGTGAGCCGCTCATTCGTTCCCCTGCCCATCTGCTGCCGCTCGCATGGGCTGGGTGTAGTGAGTGAGCGAGCGGATGGGCGGGGAGCGAGTGAGCCGCTCATTCGTTCCCCCGCCCAGCCACTGCCACTCGCATGGGCTGGGTGTAGCAAGTGAGCGAGCAGATGGGCGGGGGAGAGGCTCACTTTTCCAGCCCCACTTCCACCCGGACAAGCCATGGGAAAGCCTCCGCCTCTCCAAAAAGAGCCACCTCTGTGTGTGGCCCTTGGCAGGGTCTGGAAGTGGAGCCTTTCCCCAAAGCATCCCTTGTGCACTTTGGGGGCCGGCGGGCGAGGCGAGCGCAGCAGCCGGTGACTCCCCCGCGGGAGCACTGTTCCCAAGGCAAGAAAACACCGCGCAGCACTTTTCAACTCCCACGCAGCCGCAGTGATTTGTTGTGATGAGCACGGGGCGACTGGACTGANGTTCCTCGGCGACAGGCTCCGCCCACAGGGAGCTATTAGATGATAATATTTGGAAGATTAATAAACAGAAAGATAAAATATATCTCAGAGTTTGTCTTGAGTCATGGTTACCTGTGTATTCCTGAGTTGCATCCAAGGGATCAATCCATATGGTGACACTCTCGGCTGGAACCAACTTCGGCTGGACTTGCCTCGTGATATCGTCGGGAATGGTGTGGTCCCAGGAGACGACCTCCGGGTCATTTTCGTCCACGTGTTCTTCGCTGTTTATCTAAAGGGAAAGGACGTATGTACTGTCGTCAAATCAATGGAGGTGCACTTATCCCATTAGAAGATAATAGTTGTGCACCACAGGGCACACAACTATTGTGATGCTCTCTGAGCCTCGAGGTGGGCTTGTGGGCGTTTTACTACCAAAGTAGAGAACAGCATCAATGGTAGAAGGGAGTGAAGTCAGCAAAGGAGGAGGAGGAGGAGGAGGAAGAAGAAGAGGAAGGCTGTGGGGTTTTTGCTATTCTCTGATCTTGGCCGTTACCTAACTAGGGGATGGCATCAGTGCTTCAAGGAAGGAGGAGGAGGATAACTGTAGTTCTTGGTGCTTTCTGAGCTTGATGGTTTTCTTGCAGATGCTTCATGACCCAATTAGATAACGTCATCAGTGCTAAAACAAAAAGTGTGGGTTTGCTCTATTTATATAGCCCCCTCTGGTACTGACAATATTCCCCAGCTGAGCCAAACAAAACATCCAAGCTCACAGAGCACCATCGACCCCACGGTTGTCCTCCTCCTCCTTCTCTCCATTAACCCCGCTTCCTTCTAGCCCTGATGAAGTTCCCCAGTTGGGTCACAAAACGTCTGCAAGGAACAACTGACGGACAAAACTTGGAGATCAATGAGGACTCCACAATCTACAATGCATTTTCTTCTTAACAACGTCCTGGAATATAGCGTCATATAATGTTAACCAAGGAAAGTGCTTTGAAACATGAAACCAATAAGGCTACCCATGGAAATGCTATTTTTGCCCCCAACTAAAACCCTTTTACAGGAGTTCCAAATTCTGTACAAGTAGTCCTTGACTTACAACTGCTTGTTTAGTGACAGTTCCAAATTACAATGCTAAAAACTGTGACTCAGGAGCATGATTTGTACTTATGACTGTTGCAGCATCCCCGCGATCCCATCCTTTCCATTTGGATGCTTGACAGCTGACTCATACTTATGACAGCTGCAGCATCCCAGGGTCACGTCATTCCCTATTTGTGACCTGGTTTGAAATCCAGATTCACTTAACAACTAGTTGACTCATTTAACAACAGGAGATGCTTGATTTACGACAGCTCATTTAGTGGCCATTCCAAATGACAGCGCCCCTGAAAAAAAGAGAGTCATGTGTTCAGAGTTACAATGTTTGCAGCCCGCCCCTAATAGTGTCATTGAAATTCAGACACTTGGCCACTGCTTCATACTTATGACTGTTGCTGCATCCAAAGGTCTTTCTGACAAGCAACGTCAAGGGAGAAGCCAGATTCATTTTAACAATTGCGGCAATTCGCTTAACAACGGTGGCAAGAAAGGTCATTCAATGGGGCTGAGTTCACTTAAGTAACGTCTCGCTTCACCGGGGGCTCCATCGCAGTTGTAAGTTGATGACAGCGTGTAGAGTGATTTCCTGAACCAATGTGGCAAGAAAACCCATCAATCAGCAGGAAAGGAATGTCTCGCTTGGCCACAGAAATTGGGGCACATCATTGCCGTTGTAAGTCGAGGATTAGCTGTGTTTTCAGAATGGTCTCTTTTGGGAAACTCATTGGCCAGGTATTGCTTCACTTTGGGACAAAATAAAAGACACTTGATGTTACGGCAATATGTAGAAATGGGCGGGTTACAACAATGTGCAACTCCTGCTTTCTGCTTGCCCCATCCCTACATTTGTGTTGCACAAGCCGGTACGTTGTTATGCAAGCTTTTCGACATAAAATGAGGCCGCACCTTCAACGTTGATTGAAATCCACATCTCTTGTTTCCAATCTGGCAGCCAGCTTCCCCTGGCACGCCTTGCTGGCAGGGAATCATGGGAGCTGAACCCCCACCCCACTTAAAGCACGTCGGCTGGAGAATACTGGGAATTGTAGTCCACCCAAGATTCCCCTTGCATGCATGGCTGGCTGGCTGGGAATCATGGGAGTTGAACTCCACCTGGCTTTTCCTTGCAGGCATGGCTGGTTGGGGAATTCCGGGAATTGCAGTCCAAGCAGCTTTCTCCTTTGCCTGGCTTGGAAAAAGCCTGTTCTGCAGGGGCGGCGTCCCCCGCCCTTTTGCCCAACCCCCTGACAACACACACACACACATACACTCAGAGGGAGGCGGAGGATGGGCTTTGTAGTCCTCCCCTCACCTGCACGTCGGGGAAGGCGGCCTTGAGGAGGAAATACATCTTTCGGTTGGAGAGGAGATCGCCGCTGGTCATCTTCTCCTCGGCCCCCTCGCGGGTCTTGCCTTTAGACCGGGCGTGGAGCGCGTTCCCCTCGCGGACCCGCCGCACTTCGACCCCACCGCGGACCGCCGCCGCCACCGATGCCGCCAACAACTCCCGCAAGTCCACCAAAGCGCCGACGCCGGCCGGAGCGGGAGGCCCGCCGAAGATAAACGAGGCGAAGCGGCCGGCTAGGAAGCCCGAGTAGAGGTGGTAGAGCACGGCCAGGCCCAGCAGGCAAAAGACGGCCACCCCCAGCGGGGAAAGCCGGATCCCCATCGGCGCCATGGCCGCCTTTTTTTTTTTTACCTCAGAGAGGAGCCATGGCGCCTCAGGGGCGGCGCGGAGCCTGCATTTCCGGCGCGCGTATCAGCGCCGACACGTCACTTCCGCCCCTCTTCCCAACGCCGCTGAGGTTTTTCCCTCTGTGCGCGCGAGGGAGGCGGAGGAAAGCTCAGCACCGGCGCGGGGCCTGCGTTTCAGGCGCGTGCACGCAAGCCAAAAGCCCTTATTCTCAGCGCCGCAGAGTTGGCGCCTGGCAATGACGTCACTCGGGAGCTTTCCCCTCCTTTTCATTGGAACACGACAGGGATAGAAGGGTGATAGAGAGAGCAGGGAGAGAGCGGCCGCGGTGGGACGTTTGGGTTCGCTTCCAGGGGAAGGAAAACGGAAAACGTTGGCTAGCCGTCGCTTTCCCCAACTGGGCCGCCTCCTGTTCTGACCCTTTCAAAAATAATAATAATAATTACTGGCGNCGAGCGGAGGGGGAGGAAGCACCGCTGCTGCCATGGGCGGGAGCTTTGGCGGCTTCACCTCAGCGCCAGGCGGCAAAAATTTTAATCAAGAACACTCCCCCGCTCCGCCCCACCCCACCCCGTCCACCAATGGTGTCCTGCTTTACCAATTTTAAAATCTGGTCACTTTAAAGTACACACCACTTTTGGAGTCAAGCCATTCCACTGATTAATTGTTCCTACTGACAGGAAATTTCTCCTTAATTCTAGATTAGATCTTTGTTAAGATTCCATGCCTTATTTCTTGTCTGGCCCTGGAAAATAAGTTTCAAATTCCTGTCTGTCAATTTGGGACATGCAATTAGACAATAAGATGTACTGGGTTTTATTCCTATCCAAAAGACAGGATGGAGTTTGTTTAATTGTTAGATTTGTTAGATTTATTTTCTTCACTTCAACTGTTCCAGTAAATATATACTTTAAGGAGATGTTCTCTGACATATTTGGTTCCTAAGCCTATGATGTCCACTGTCTTGTTGCTGAGTACAACTGAAAACTCTATTGATTCAAAAGTAAGAACAACTAATTTGTGGAGTGATTTTCTAAGAGGAATTCTCTTTAAGAGGAATTCTCATGAATTTAAATGCAAAACCAGCATGTAGACTGGTTTGTATTTAAAATGTTGGAAGCAAGGCCGACTATGGTATCCTCCTTTAATTTTGCATATTTGTAAGTACAAAAATACATTTGAAAAGGAAAGACAATATTCTACCTACCGTTACACTGATTTTTTTAATGGCACTTGCAACTGTTCAGACAAGAAGCAGGAAATTAGTTAATGTTAAGTAATTAGATTAATCAAAAAATTAGTTAAAGGTCCTGCTAATTAGATTATAAATGTATCTTGAAGGTAGAAGAACAAAACTGCCTCTGGGGACAAAGCAATAAATAAGAAATATAATTTAGAATTACAAAGACATGATGGGGAAGGCTGTTATCTTTAATATCATTTGAGCCTCGTAAACTCTTGATGCAAAACAACCATTGTGCATTGCACAATGGCGCAATTTCACTGCTGAAGATTTAACCCTTGCTTAAATTATTTCATTCATTAAATCTTAGTAGTCACTACTTTAAGTAATACAAACCATTCTGTTTCATTTGCTATGACATTTGTGAAGACTTACATTTTTACCATTTTGGAAACAAAAAGCAGAACCTACACAGGTCTGATTTAGTAGATGTTTTTATTATTAACTTTTCAACCTGGTGACGGAATATTCTGAAACAATTGTTTTAAGTCTAATGTGTCTCATTTTCTGGTACATAGGCTGGGAGTCAGCCAAAGTATCCCTAACACCTACTGAAAGCCAGATTTTTTTTTACTTTTTTATTGTTTTATAAAAATATAAAATACAAAGAGAAATTCAAAAAATCCAGAAGATTTTCAAAGTAGGTTAAGACCTTGGATTTATTTCTGGAAGATAGTCTTGATCAGATTAATGAATTATTGCATTTATTTTCCTAAGATGGCCCTTGATCAAGATAATGGATTATACCAATCTGCTAATGATTTGTTGATAAATTGGATTTATCTTTTGGTTGCTTCAACAATTTCTTCCCCTGCAAAATAGACATGTTTTTCTGCCTCATTGTAGAAGTGTTTTTCTGGTTTCCTTTGGAAGTATTTTTGATCCTTTCCCATTCCTGTAAAATGTCAATGGGCCTCTTCCCTCCCTCCCTTGATCACATTTCAACCTTCTTGACTGTTCCAGCATTGTGTTGCATATGAGGCTTTCCTCCATCGTATCTTCCTTTAAGATATAACTGAAGAGGGGATAAATAATGGAAACTGCAGAAAGCTGGAGCCATGTTGATGCAATTACAGTCAGAAAACTCACACATCCCTTAAATAACAGCCCATTCTGATAATTTTATTTAAAAAAAATTCTCCATTGAAAATTGATGAATGAGTGGAGAAAATGCTAAATAAAGTTTTCATGTAGTGCAAGTTGTACTTCTGCTTTCTGTAGGCCTCTGTGGGAACAAAAAGTTATAATAAAGGTGTGATACAAATAAATAAATAAATTGCCCAGAGTCATTCTGAGAGTGGCATAGAAGTATCAAAATTTGATAAATAAATAAATAGGCAAATAAAATTGACTTTCTGGAAAGCCATGAGAGAAAACTACAAATGGAGATCACATGATCACAGGGTGCTTTGTAACCAGCCATAAAAACAAGCACGTTGCCAAGCATCCAGATCATGATCACATAATCACAGGGTACATGGTCTGATGTTTTACAATGGCTGGAAGCATCTTTTCCAAGCTGTCATAAATTCAAATGGTCATTAAACCACCAGTCATAAGTTGAGGACTAGCTGCACTGCTCATAAACCATATATTCTTGAAGCTTATACAGTATTTTTGGCATTTTCTGATTCTTTCAAATTATTAGTGCCATGCTTAACATCAACTCATATACCCAATTGCCTTAATATGGTGAGACACAAGTTTCAGTGCTATAGTTTTTATTCATTTTTTGTTCTAAACAAATATAAACAAAATTCCCATCAGGCAACAAAGCTGCTAAACAAAATAAGCACTATACAGTTGTGTCTCTCCATGCAGTTTTACCCACCGTGCTAAAATATCTCTACAGAGATGTCTCACTTTCCCATGTTCTTCCCCTCACAGGTGGTAAATATGCTATAGGTCTCCTCCTATATATCAGATTGCAATGTGTCATGCTTCTGGAGCTTTGGGCTCTTTTTAAAATTACATTTTACACATCAGTAAACTTGTAATGCAGAAACTGCTTTCTTAGAGTTATTTATATCCCTGTGTTGCAAAAGAATTTGTCAGGGAATAATATGAATGTTATTTATCTGACGGCTCTGCTTTATAGACTGCTACATTTCACATCCTTCAGTACTTCTTGGCAGAGAAGTAAATAACAGTGCTATTAACCTCTAGCACCAGTATAAAAATAGACAGTTATTAAGGGGTAAATATTACTTTGATGATTATTGCCCCAGTCTGCTTTCACTGTAATAAATAAGATTTCTTTGTTGGTCTGTAAAACCCTTTTTTAAAAGTTACATACAGCAATCTTGGGTACTTGCTTCAAATAGTTTTGGGGTGGCATTTCATATTGTTCAACTTAACCCAAGGTGTGTTCTTCTAGTACTGACTGGCTAACTGGGATTTCCTGAAATGATTTGATAATGATAGCTTAGATCAGTAATTCTCAACTCCCCAGCCATCATAGTAAATCTGAGAGTTGAAATGTATACCTCTGAAGGTTGCTAAGATATCATAAGATGGAGCTAAGTTCCACACTGCAATAGCTGCATGAATTGAATAGTATATTATTATGCAAATTAGGGTAAACTCCTCGGATTTACTTGTCTATAACAAAAACATTGTGGGCACAGATTCAGATTCTTAAAAAACATTTTGTCTAGAAAGGCAATGCACAGTTTAAAAAAGAGAGAAGAATATAACAATGGGTTCAAGTCATATCTACTATAATTATAATATTTGCTAGAAAGTTGGTAGAATGTTGTAATTGACTCTTCGAATGTAAAAACATAAACCTGTATGTTGAATATAAGCATATATCCATCCCAAGGAGATTCTTCCTTATGCATTCTGGTGCTTTCCAATGCTGGTACTGGTGATTCTGGAAGTCTGAATTAACTATGTTCCTGAGAATTCAATGAAATTTACTTTCAGGTCTCTAGATCAGTGCTGGTTGGGAAATTCTGAGAATTGAAGTTCACAAATCTTCAGATTGCCAATGTTGAGAAATACTATTCTAGAGACTGGTTTATTTGATAGCAAATGGGTATTTGTGACCTTTGTTTAAGAAATTACCAATAGCCATAAGAATAAACTGTGAATAAAACTACATAAATCTACATCACTGAAAATACCCCTCCCCCCCAAAAAAATCTGTTGAGATACAGAATGGAAAGCAGCTACAAAATTCATTTCTTGTAACAGTATTTTGCATGAATAACAGTTATATAACTTTTCTATTATATAACTTTTTATTTCTATTAATGTGAAGAATGTTAACTAGAGCCATTAGTTTATTCTCCTGATATTTCAGTAGGTTCATTTTTCTTTCCTTATCCAACCTATTGCATTTCATTTGAAAGAATTACATGAACAATAGCATACAGCAGCCTCAAATCCATCCAGTAAACAGAGACTCTCATCTCTCCACAGAGGTGCTCATAAGAGATTTTATAATTCAGGGCACATTTTCTAATGTTCTTTCCACAATACTCAATTCTCTGCCTTGACCATTGACTCTGGGTACATACAAGATCAATGCTGGGTCAAATCCATTCAGCTTCTGAAATGCATTTACAAAGTGCCTTTTTGCTGGTTTCCTTTCTGGCATTTGCCACATTTTGTACAATTTTAATGTTATCTAAAAAAATAGCAGGCCTTCAGTGATGGAGGACATTGCAAGAGAAGTTCATTTGCTCCTCTTTTTTGCTTTGCAACAGGTTTTTACAGAGGACCTCTTTCATTTCAGGCTATAATAGTTTTTTTTTTTTTAACTGCTTAATAATTTGCTGACATTTTTAAAT